AATGTTTGATTTACTTAATTCAGGTCTTGAGTTATCACTGCCTTATTATTCTAGATCAAAATTTTGCATATACAAACACAATTGCATTTGTCCTTGAAATTATTCTATAAATCAAATGTTTTTGCTCATGTGGGCAGGCCTTTCATCCTATCTAATTTGGGGTTATAAAATTTTATATCAATTAATACAACAGCAATTGTTATAACAAAATAAGAACTAAAGAACATTTAAAAATATTCACAGAGCTGTATAGAAAATTCTAGAATGTGGACTATATTTTTGAAGTTGTCATTCTTGTTTCCTGATAGCCAACTCACTGCTGTGCTGAATTGCATTGACCATGTGAATTCTCTCTGCAGTTACAGAATTTGTGGGGCCGAGCTATCGGAGAACAGTGGGGATTCTTTACCAAGCTGCCTTTACCGTTGGGCTCCTGGTGCTGACCGGGGTGGCGTATGCACTTCCTCACTGGAGGTGGTTACAGTTCGCAGTTACTCTGCCCAACTTCTGCTTCTTGCTCTACTACTGGTAAGTCCATTTGGAACAAAAAAGAGATAAACTGAAATATTTTATGTTGCTAAAAAGGCCACCTCAGTGCGTACTGTCCTTCTGATTCCAAGGTTTCTTTCACTTTCGAGGGTTATTTCACAGGGAGCCCAGTTCCATGTTTCAAGGATAAAAATCACAAGCTTCAGCCTATCTCTCCCCCATACTCCCACCCTGGAAATCAAATTTTTCTTTGGGCTTAAAGTTTTTGTGACCTAGATCTTACATTTCTGCATTACTTATTTGGTGTTTAAATTAGCATCTAGCAGCTGTGGTACGATTTGGACTGTAGAGCCTTTGAAGAGATTGACAATATCATCATTGCTGTTCTATCCCTCCTCAGAGGAAACTTTAGGATGAAGAAGGCAAAACATGGCATTTGTGTCACCACTTCCTAATACCTGTGCCTGAGGCAGACATCCCCAATCAATCACAGCAGTCTCCATCTCAGATAAGGCCAACATTACACTCCAGATAGACCATATCAATCGATCAGAGTTACTGAGGAAAGTAAGTTTCCCTGCCCAAGGGAAACACATGGGAAATAGCAGAAACTATTAGAAACCCCTAACTTACTTGAAATAAAGCAAAGGGGATGCTGGATTATCAGACCAAATATCTCTCCCATGCAATAAGCTCATTTATTTACTTCCTCCTGGATGTATCCACTTGTTCTTCCCAATGGTTGTCTTGCCTAAGACTTACATGTCACAACCCTCCCCAGGAAGCTTGTTTCTTTGTCCAAAAGCCAGTAAAATTCTGTGTCTTAGCTCAGGCTGCTATAACTATGTACGTAGAAGCAAACATTTCTCACAGTTCTGGAGGTTGGAAAGTCCAAGATCCAGGTGTGGCAGAGTCCATTCCTGGGGAGGGCTTCCTGGCCTGAGCACAGCTAGACTCGTTGCTGTATCCTCACATGGTGGCAGGACAGAGAGAATCCTCTGGTCTCTCTTCCTCTTCTTATAAGGACACTGATCACATTCTGGGGACCCACCCTCCAGGCCTTATCTAATTACCTTCCAAAGGCCCCACCTGCAAATTACACACTGGGGTTGAGACATCAGTGTATGAGTTTTGGGGGGACACAACATTCAGTCCATAACACTCTGACAGTGACCTGTATCTCCCTCCCTCATCTCCTTCTACCCATTTCTGCCTCCTCTATACCTCGGAATTCACCCCTCTTCTCCTTTTCTCATTAGGAAATCATTATTATTTCTTGCTTGGGTTACTGTGATAGATTCCCAACTGGTCTCCTTGACATTTGGTTTATTGTCCTCTAATCCATGCTTCCTGCCACATGTTAGACATCCAGTTGCACCGTGTCACTGCCCTGCTTAAAAGTCCTTCCATGGTTTTTTTCCTGCAGAATGAAGACCTAGTGCTTTAGCATGACAGAAAGGCCACCTATTATCCAAGTTCTGACCACCTCTGAAGCACTTCCTCTTGCCACTTTCACTGAATAGAATCAAATTGAATTTACTTACAATTCTGCAAGCTCTATCATGGGCTTTACATTTTTGAAAGATTGCTCCAGATGCAGAGTAGAAGACAGGTGTCACGGGGGAAGAATGGAGGCAGGGAAACCAGGGAAGAGACTATTGCAATTACCCTCGCAAGACAGGACAAAGGCCTGAATTAAGATGGAAGCTGTGGGTATGAAGAGGAAAAATTATAAGCAGAATTCTAATGAGGCAGCAATGACAGAGCGTGGTGACAAACTCCATGTGTGAGCTTCCCGTGGTGGTCTGCACACTCCCACCTCCACTCCTTGACACTCTGTCAGTTTTGGGGCCTTCGCAAAGCCCGGGCCCACTTGGGCTGACCTGCCTCTGCCGCGTGGAGCGCAGAGTCGGATATCCAGCGGCACCCTGCTTGGCAGTTCACTTCCTGGGGTTCCGCTTGGAAATCTCCGAGGAGGGAGCCAGCCGGAAGGCTTCCTGGACAAGGCTGACCATATGTCGCATTTGAGGGAGGAAAGAGCCACATATCCCACTGCGTGATCGTTAGTTTCTTTGTAGATCCAACTGGACCTCACTGTGTAAGAACCTCAGAGAAATCTGATTAGGAAAATTGGGGTTGGGGGGAGGTCAGGAAGACTTTCTTCTCCACTGACCTTGTACCCTAGGTACATACCTGAGTCTCCAAGATGGCTGATATCCCAGAACAAAAATGCTAAAGCCATGAGGATCATTAAACACATCGCAAAGAAAAATGGAAAATCTCTGCCTGTCTCTCTTCAGGTGAGCCAGAGCCTTAAGTATCAAATCAGGGGACGGTGAAAAGGGAAGCTCTGGGAAGACACTGGGGGAGCACAGGACCAGCCCACCACCTTGCATTTGGGCCTATCTGGTAATGAAACGCAACAGAGTATTTTATGTACTAAGATTTGGGGGTCCCTAGGAAAATACTTTAAACAGATGCAAAACATCAAACTAAAAGGGAACCAGAAATCATTTAAAGGTCAAACAAGGAGTTTCTATCTTGTGCAACTCACACCTCTGCCGGCCACTCATGCCACGCTTACCTGTGTGTCTGGCATCCTCAGGTCAGATTCTTAGATCGGTGTGACAGCTCTTTTTTTTCACTGAAAACTTTTCTGTTGGCCTTTTGGATAGAAAAAATAATTTATTTGCCACGAAGGACGATCCTATCATAATTCTGCTGGAACCAGAGCAGGGCCTCCGCTTGGCTGGTTCTGTGTTTGGCCAGTGCAGCTCGTTCTGCACTTCTTGTCCGCAGCGCTGACCCCCAGCCTGCCCAGCACCACGCAGAAGTCCAAGCTGTGCATACTAGTGCTTGCGTCATATTTGACACCCAGATCGATATGTTCCTGGATCCCAAAACCAAAGCATCCAGTATCTGACAAGTTATTTTTTCTTAGCTCATACTCCCACACCTTTAGACCTCTCTCCAGGAATTCTTCTGCCTTGGCCCTTCTGGCTGTGCGGGGGATGGCAATCTTCTCATTTCTACTGCTGCCAAAGGACCTGACAGTGTATCTAGCTGTGGGGGGCCCAGGGGTCTGGCCTGTGAGCTGCCCCTGCACCTCAGCTGCTGGGGCCAGTCTGTCCCCTCGCCCCCACGCGGATGTTGAGGCAGAGCTTGTGGATGCAAAGTTCCCACATAGGCTTCCCCTTTTCACCTTGACCTGCCATCGTGGAGAACAGGAAGAGAGAACAGTTCTTTAAACACAAGTAATTTCTCAGAATTTTAAACATTTGGATAGAAATTGCTCCAAAACATTTTAAGCAATCTGCTACCATCTTAAGTAGAATCAAGTTACTGAGGTGTTCATTATGTGCTTAGTGTTTGCCTTTAGTAGATCTCACCGCTTTGACCTCAAACCTTTTCATCTAATAGGGGCTGGAAAAGAAAACATTAAGCTTATTAGAAAATTATGTCAGAATAAGAGTAAATCACTTCTGAATGAGGATCTATGAATATGATAGGTTATGTGTAAGAACTTGAGATTTACATGACATTTAGAATGAGGATTTTTGGACTCAGAGGCCTTTTTCCTTCACTTTCTCCCTGGTTCCTGGGTGGTCGAAATGTGATTCTCAGGTGTTAGATGCCTTCAGCGAAGGGCCAGTGGGTAAATCACACGAGAGTCATCATCTCCCAAGAGGTGACATCCTGGTGTCGGCAGTAAATCTCCACTTCACCAGCTGCTGACCATATTCTTCTAGAGCAGGGTTCTCAAATGTTACCCTCTGTGCACAGGAATCACCAAAAACCTTATGAAAATGCAGATTCAGATAGGTCTGTTTCCCGCCTACTTCTAACGTGCTCCAGGTGATGCTGGTGCCGGTATGAATGCCAAGGTCCCAGGGCACAGCCTCCTGCCTGGTGGGCCACAGACTGGTCCAGGTGGCAGACGCATTGCTGCACCCTCAGCCCACATGGCCGGGCCATGAGGCTGGGCATTGATTATAGCCCACTGTGCTCTACAAATAATATCATTTCAGACAGGCACTAGGAATTGCCTGACTTCTCTGCATCCCAGCTCCCTCTTCTGTAAAATGGGGTGAAAGAAATAGAACCTAACATCTAGGATCTTTTAAAGATTAAATGAGACAAAGTGTGCAAACTGCTTAGTGTAGTGCTGGGCAATGCGGTAAGCACTCCATATGTGTAAGAAATTATTGTTGTTCCCTGTCTGACCCAGGGACACCACCATCAAAGCTGTTCCTACTATGTCTTTTCTTAGAGCCTGAGACCTGACGAGGAAGTGGACGAGAAGTTGAACCCTTCCTTTCTTGACTTGGTCAGAACCCCTCAGATAAGGAAACGTACTTTGATCTTGATGTACAACTGGTAAGGAATATTCTTCCCTTTAAAATCCCTCCAAAGTCTTTTAATCACAATCAGCCACATTAAGGAGGGAACAAGGGTGCCTTCAACACAATACCTAATCCCAGGTTTAGCACCAACAGCGGACGGCAGTGTGTGGCTCATGCATAGCAGGTTTTTCAGCAAACGTTGAAATCCACTTACAGTCCCTGAGCATAGATCAGGGCGTTCTCAACCTTGGCTTCACATTACAGTCACCTGGAGAAGGCCAAACCCCCGTCTCCAGAAATATTGGTTTAATTGGTGTAGGGTAGGGCCCAGGGACCAACATGGTTTAAATTTTCCAGGTGATTCTAACATAGAGCCAAAATCGAGAGCTATCGGTAGAGATTAACTGATGATGAGTGTAGATCTCTACGGCAGTACAGGGCTGGCAAGGAAAGGGACTTTTCTTTCCTTTTTCTTTTCTACCTGGAGAAAAAAAATAAATTAGTGAACAAGAATAATCCGCCGGCTCCACAGCCCGGTAACGTGATCTCTACTGTGCTGGCCGCAGGTGTTCTCAGAGCTTTGAGGCACGCCTTCTCGCTTTCAGCAGCACTGGGTCTCGACCAGCCAAACGAAGATGTATAATCGCTGATGAAAGCGGAGCTCCCCAGGAGTTAACCGAGCAACCTTCACAGCTGCACGGAAAAGGCAGCTTTGAGATTTGGCCTCATTATCCTTCTTTCCTTTTCTGAAAAACTGTGACTCTTGTGGATTATCTTCACATTTTCTGTTACATATAATGACCATTTTGGTCAATAAAGCTAAAAATGTTGTCCAAATGCCGTTTGCATCACGTTGAGAGAGAACTCATCAAGAGAGGAGCTCTGCCCGTGTGGTCTTCTGATTTCCTAAAATTGGCATTAAGTGGTCCGTCCTTTCGATCCCACTGCATTAGAAAACCATAAAGACAGACATAATTCACAACCACTAATAACTTGATCTAGTTTTACTAAACAAATCACTCTATTAAGACATTCTTTGCTCTCAGTCTGGCCAGGAAATGCTATCCTAATTTCTTCCCAGGGTCCTTGGGTCCCAGCCAGCCAATGAAATGGATCAGATATTATAAAGGTGGTGGGATGGAGGGATCACTGGGAAAGGCGACCTACAACCAACTCGTATTTTTCCAGAAGCCTCTCCCTTTCGGTGGTTTGTGTTTGGCGCTCAACTTGACCTGACTCTCCTCTCTGCTCAGGTTCACGAGCTCTGTTCTCTACCAGGGCCTCATCATGCATGTGGGCCTCGCAGGGGACAATATCTACCTGGATTTCTTCTACTCTGCGCTGGTTGAATTCCCAGCTGCCTTCATGATCATCCTCACCATTGACCGCATTGGTCGCCGTTATCCTTGGGCTGTGTCAAATATGGTGGCAGGAGCAGCCTGTCTAGCCTCAGCTTTTATCCCTGATGGTAAGTTTCAGGCCAAGCTGGGGTCTTGTCCCTAAGGCCCTGAGAAGAGGGGGTGTCCACAGCCCTTCGATAGGAAGACAATGTAATTTATCATTCAAATCAATTTGAAAGAGAATAGTATCTGGGACCTTCCTGAGCAAACCCATATGGCCCACCTACCTTTAGGAACAATCATACCCAATTATTCCCTGATGTGATATAATAAGAGAGGCTGTGGAGATCCATGCTACAGGCCATGGAGCCAGCCTAGAGCAAAGCTGGGCTTTGGGATAGAGCAGACCCAGGTTCAAAATCTTACTCTAGTACTTCCCAGGTATTATTTAGCAACTCCCTTGACCTCCCTGCATCATCCTACAGAATAAATGAGAAAACTTAAGTAAATGCCATCAATAAACAATTATTCGGTTCATTTCTTTCGTTTTAAAAATGCTTTCTCAATGAAGGGGAACAAAAGCCTGTAGAACAAAATCCTTTTAGCAACATGGATTTGTTTCAATCCTTCAGTTATTAGTAATTTTAAAAAATGTGTCCATATTTTGCTGTTTCTTTAGAGTGAGCTCTGTAGACTAAAGTTGGCCCAGCTTTGGAAACTGGTATAATTCCATTGTCTTTAACGATTGAGGTCTAAAGCTAAGAGAGCACAGAGAATTTTGGGGGCAATGAAATTATTCTGTATGATACTGTAACAGTGGATACAGGGCATTACGTTTGTCCAAACCCATAGGATGTACAACACCAAGAGTGAATCCTAATGCAAACTGTGGATTTGGGGTGATTATGGTGTATCAGTGCAGGTTCATCAGTCGTAACAAATGCACCACTCGGGTGGGGGGTGTTGATAACAGGGGAGATTGTGCATGCGCGGGGCGGAAAGAGTATGTGGGAAATCTCTGCATTCCCTCTCAATTTCGCTAGGAACCTAAAACTGCTCTAAAAAATAGTCTTTAAAACAAGAGAGAGCAAGTATTAGAATTGTGTCTGGGGTTCAAACAAACACAGGTGAGACTTTGCTGACATTGATCTACAGAAGAACCAATTTTGCTTTCTTGCCCCATTCTGGAATGGGGGGGCTTGTCCTCACAGCCTGCACCCTGCGGCACGGCTGAGAAGGGGGACCGTCTGCAGCACGCATGTACTAATGCTGTGCTTTTCCCCTCAGATCTACGGTGGCTAAAAACTATTGTTGCGTGCTTGGGCAGAATGGGGATTACAATGGCCTTTCAAATGGTTTGCCTGGTCAACACGGAACTGTTCCCCACATTCATTAGGTGAGTGCCTTTTCCTTAGTATGAAGAGGGCGGATGGGACATTTGCTTATTGGCTGGAACTGCCATGGGTGCAGGCAGAGGACGCCTTACTTTTCAAAACACAGTGTAAGGGAAGGTGAGCCGATTTAAAGGAAGCAGCCAGGCTCAGCAGTTCACCTCTCACACTTACAGGCTGGGGTAAAACACAGACGCTGTGGTGAGAACAGAGGACCCTGGGTCACGAGACAGGGCTCACCAACGGCTGCAGCAGAGTGCAAGGCCGGGCAGCACCAACAGGCCCGTAGGGCAGCCCAGGGAAGCCTGGCGAGGGAAGCAAGAAGAAAACATTGCTCTTCCTCCCACCATTAAACATCTTAAAGCTTATGTAAAACAAGAACAACAGGAAATGAATGGAATTATATATCTATATTGTTTTTAGGCATTGAAAACAATGTAAACATTTTGTTTCCCAGTTCTCAGACATTTTAATGGTTTGGGGAAGTGTTTATTTGGAGGTGAGGTGGGAGACGATGTTACGCCCAGCCGAGTGCCTCTCCCACCGGCCGGATCAGGGCAACATGCTGTCAGCCCGAGGTACGGTGGAGAAGGAGCTTAATATAAGGTGCTAGGCGAGGAGACGCATGAATTTCTCAGCTCCATCTCCTCTAGAATTTGGGGGCTAAGATTTTTAAAGGCGTTTTGGTGATTGAAAGGCTAGGGAATGGTGTCTGCTGATTGGCTGGGGATGAACTCATACGGTTGGGAAGCAGAAACAGTCTCTTGGTAAACAGGAGTCTCTGAGTGGAGGCTCGCAGGCCTTGTGGGATCAGTTCCCACACATGGCCACTGGTCCCCCCTGAAGGCAGAGTCTGGAAGACATCTCGAATACCAGCCTTAGGTTTTACCATAGAGATGCTTCTACCATAGAGATGGTAGAAGCAGGTGGGGAAGTCACAAATCTTGCCCCCGTGAAGGGAAAGCAGTGAGCAGTGACAGCAATAGGGAAGTTAGGGAACAGTGGCTGGTTAAGGTTTAGCTATGTCTATACTTCTGTAGAAATCAGACTTTTATCACTATTCCTGTCTATGGCCTTACATTATTTTAATATAGGTGGTTTCAATAACTACTGCACTTTGATAAATTAAAAAGTTAAATCAGTTGCCTGCATTTTAGGAATCTTGGTGTCCACGTCTGTTCCTCATTGTGTGACATTGGTGGCATCATTGCGCCATTCCTGGTGTTCCGGCTCACTGATGTCTGGCTTGAGCTCCCGCTGGTGGTTTTTGGTGAGAAATCCTCATAGAGGCCTTTAAACGAAAACCTATGTTTCTAGGGACCTTCATTTCTCTACTTCAAAATAGGCACCTTGCCTATTAGGAATCACCAATCACTACTACTCGTTAGCAACAGTATTAGCATCAGCAATACTGGGGTAATACGAGCGCAGGATTCAGGATAACGTCAGTCACTGCTAACACGCAGGTGTGGGCTCCTGCCTTGCGGTGTAGACAAGCGCGAGGAGGGAGGAGCCTCCCTGCAGCCGCCCTGACTGTCCACCCCCTGACTCCCACCGCCCCCGTCTCCAGCAGAGAGCTCGCTCTTCTGCCTCCCCCGCGTCCGGAGGGTGAAACACAAAGCCCCTTTACTTCTTAGTTCACAGAAACGCAGTTACAGTTTTGAAACCCAGAGGGAACAAAGACCCACATTAAGAAAACGCATCAGCACAGTGGAGCCCTGTGTGCACGCTCCTGCGGCGATGAGGGAGCCCCTCTGCCGCTGCCTGAGAGCGGGGCCAGGTGGGAATGTCCCGGCACTGAGCCCCGCCGCTCCCCGGAGGACAGAAGGTGACAGGGACAAGTCTAATCAAAAGTTAACACACAGAGGCAGGTGCTCAACGTGAAATCTGCAACCACGAAAGGGCACGTCTTTCATGGGGGTCCTGGGCACGTCCCCACGGCTGCAGGCTCTGCGACAGAGCCGCTCCTGTGTGTCCCCCAGACGCCCGCCCTGCGAACGCTGTTCCGGATTCACGCACAGGGCATTCACCTTCTCTGGCGACCCGGCCCACAGTGCACCCATTTCAGTCTCCTTTAAGACCCATTCGGAGCCACTTCTAATTCGAATGTGTGATGCTTCCTCCCTGGGGTGAACGACACTCGTTTAGTCTGGGGGAAGGAGAAGAAGAGGCCCCACTGCCTCATGCATCCCAGGACGCCCCTGGCCTCGCGCCTGGTGCTGCACAGCCGCCCGCAAGCATCCTGTTCACTCCGCCTCTTCCCCGCTCTCAAGGGATTGGTGAGGGGGAAAATCTTCCACTGCTGTGGGTCTGCCCGCAAAAGTTCCAGAGCACTGACAGAACTCACCCTCGAAACAGACCCGAATTCCTCCACATTCCCGCTCAGTGACAGCGAGGTGGCGAGCGCTGGTGGAACGCAAGCTCTTTATCCTGTGATGACCGTGGTCTGCCCGCTGAGTAGCTGGCGCTGCTGATGTGTGTGCCCCAAATTCCTTTCTCCCCCAACACTGGCTGATGAGCCTGTCCCCAGAGCCCCCTTTCCAGGTCGAGGCCACCCTCTGGCTCCCATTCTGCTATGGAGGACGTTAGAGATACCTCAATACCAGCTACTCCCTTAGGTGGCCAGTGGGTCAGTGGGACACTTCTGGGTAGCAAACAGATACTTCACGTTTCTCTACGTCTGTTTAACAAAGCGGTGCAAAATCCAGACCCCGAGGGACATTGTGGACCCTTGCTCATGCCTCATCTTCCCCTGGGAAGGACAAAGGATGGTAACTACATTGCAGCATATACAGGAAAACCAAAGACAATTCCAATTGTATTTTTGTGGGTAGTTTCATCTTCTTCCTTCACCAACCTTGAATCTGAGTAGTTAGCAGAAAGCAAAACCAATAGTTTTGCATTTTAACTTCTTTCCTTTTCTTTCTACACAAGAATGGTGTGCTAACTGTAGTCTTGAAATGGTCTTAAAACAGTAATTGAAGAAACCTGAAAGTCAACGCAGTGGAAAATCCTGTTTGAAAGAGCGCTGGAACAATTGATAAGGATTATCCTGGTTAATCAGGCCCATCTTTGCAAATATAAAATTCCGAATGAGTGATAATTTGATTAATCCATTGCATTTGTCACAGTCCCCTCCCTTCAGAGATTCCCAGGCCTGTGAATGTGCACCGTGTTTGCATTAGTTACAATGTAATAACCAAGGGAATCTTGGGAGGTTTGGAGAGATGTTGAAGGGTTGTTATTTAGTAAGCACTTCCCACAATTCATACCACGTGCCAGGCACTATTCTCAGTGCTTGGCAAATATTAATTCACTTCAGCCTCTTAACAAGCCTGTGGGGGAATCTGGCCCAGCAGAGAGATTGCAGAACTTCCCAAGCCCCTGAGACCAGTAAGTGAGGGAGGCAGCATGGCAGCCCAGGCACTCGGGCTTGTGTTTTGAGCCACTGTGCTCTGTGGCTTCTATTAAGCCCATTTTTAAGGGTGCAAAAATAAAGGCCAGCATGCTTATTTTGAAACCCCAAACGAGTAAGGAACCCATATCCCACTTCCTGCATTCTAACATAGAAAGCATAAAAATATAACTTTAAAAGACCAAAGCTTTTATTGGAATCTAAAAAAACAAAAGCATTAAAGTGTTTATTATTAAAAATCACAGCCAAAGGCAAGGATTAACCGGAATTTAGCGAACACCTGAATTTGAACTAAATGCCTGGCTATACTTTATACTTTTTAGTGTCATTATATAGTTACACATGATTCATTACTTTTATTTGCAAGTAATGATCCAAGTTTCTAACTTATTTTCATTACTAAGTGCTTTATACTGGAAGGGTTATGTTCTTCCTTTTCACACAGTTTTTTTCAAAGTTATTTTCTAACTCCAAAGTATCTTAATATGGTGGCAACGTTCCCTAGTCTAGAATAACCCTGACTCAAAATATTAAGTATTTCATTTCCCTATAAGGAATTGTAATTCAATGGAGTTTGGAATTGGTATAATATTTATGATGGAAAATGGGGCAGTCGGAGATGGCAAAGGAATCTGTAAATAAGTATAGAAAAAACACCCCAAAAAATTTTTAAATAGAAATAAGGGGAGCTCTAATTATAGAACCTGTGTTTTTCAGTTCTTAATGTGGTTTGTGTCTGTTTGGCTTTCAGCTGTGTTTGGCTTGGTTGCCGGAGGACTGGTGCTGTTGCTACCAGAGACCAAAGGGGAGGCTTTGCCTGAGACCATTGAGGAAGCGGAAAACATGCAGAGGTAGGCAGCTGGAGTTCCTAAAGGAACTATTTGATAAAGGTTTTGGGACAACTCTGTAGGCAATTGGAAAGGAAGATTAGATCAAATCCATACCTCACACCATACATCCAGATAAATGCACACTAAATCAAAGAGTTAAAAGTACAAAAAAGAACCAGTAAAATAATGAAGATGCCATGGGAGGATTCTGTTATACTTTTGTAAGGGGAAAGGTCTTTGTAAATATGACCCAAAAATCCAGAACCCATAGAAGAAATATCAATAGCTGTTTTTGTTATTTCTAAATTTTGGACTATATGAACCTATTCAAAAAGTAAATTGAAAAAAAAATCTAAATAAAGAGAAACCTATATGACACGCTCCCCACAAGTTTGCTTATGCAGCGTGCTTAGATATTTCTATTTATTTTGTTTTTATGCCATTTTGGCCTCTTGGTGCCACACACTGAGCTGAATTTTATCTGTTCTACGAAACCTTCATATTTAACATATTCCTTGGAATTGTTCTTGGGCAAAATGTTGCCAAACTGCAGTGGTCCGAGGCTTTTCCTAGAACTTGCGTCTTAGATTGGAAAAGGCCTTGGAATCCGACCAGAGGTCACACACTGGCAACCTGCAGGACACCAAGTTCTCAAATGCTTTGTTTTGGCCCACGTGGGTTGTTTTTTTTTTTTTTAAGAGGGAAATTCCATATAAACTGGACTTCCAGGATCTGTTTTAAAAAATCAGAAGATTTGGTAACACTGAGCAGGTATTCCCTCTTGTTGGCAATTTGTAGGACCCGAGCAAGGGCTAGGCTTTCTGAAGGCATGCCCTCTGCAGCAGGCCACAGTCCCCACTGTTCCTTATCGTCTTATGTCTGGTACATTATACGATCGGCTTGGTGCTGCAGACATTTGAGTTTGAGACCCCTGATCTAGCCCAACCCTCCCCCTACCCCAGCACAGCTTCCCACGCACATGGGCACCTCCCCTCCCAGACAGGAGACTCAGTCCTGTTTACCGTTGCATCCCCAGAGCTTAGCACGGGACCTGGCACGCACAGAGCCGGAGCTTACCGAGTATTTGGGGAATGGATGCTGGCGTTCGGTCAACAGCATCCCTAATTGAGGCTCCGTTTCCGAGGCAGCTCCAGCCCAGGCAGGCAGTGATGTGTGTGGTGAGGAGCAGGGCTGTAGCGTCTGATAGACTGTCCTCACGTTCGCCGTCGGTGTGGCCTGAAGGGCTCCAAGCCTCAGTTTGTCACCTGTAAATGGGGACAACAGTATCGACTCGCTGGCTTTGGTAACAACTAAATAAGCTGATGTGTGTTTAAGGGACCTGACGGTAAAGGTCCAGGAGCCGCTGTCACCGTTCACGGCTTCAAACTTAGTTGATAAAGCAGTGGCAGAGTTTTAGAGAACTGACTCTAAGTTTGAAAGAAGTTCTACTATGAGTAAAATGCTATCAAACAGCATCGCACGCTACAGAGAAATCTTTCATGAAAGGAAGGTTCAACTGATGTGACAAACTTCACTGTTGCCTTACTTTAAGAAATTGCCACAGCTACCTCAACCTTCGGCAGCCACCGCCACAATCAGTCAGCAGCCACCAACATTAGGACAAAACCCCACCAACTAAAAGATTATGACTGGCTGAAGGATCAAGATTGTTAGCATTGTTTAACATTAAAGTATTTAAACATGAAGGCATATGCATTTTAAGACATAATGCTATCGTACACTTAATAGATTACAGCATAGTGTAAGCATAACTTTTATATGCACTGGGAAACCAAATTTTCTGTGACTCTTTTTATTGCAAAATTTGCTTTATTGTGGTGGTCTGGAACTGAATCTGAAATATCTCCAAGGTATGCCTGCATTCCCTCATCGAATCCTTGCAACAACCCTGTGAAACAGGTATTATTATTATTAGCCCTGTGATGACTGAAAAAAACCTAGGGCAGAGAAATTTAAGGACTTGCTTAAAGCCACACAGCCAGTAAGTGACAAAGCCGAGGTTTCAATCCTGGCGGCCAAATTCCATGGCCCACTTTCTTGTCTCACCCTCAAGGGCTGGGCTCACAAATACCAAAATGCAGTGAAACACCCAGTGCAGTGCCAGGCATTTAGTTAGTGGTCAGTCACCAGCCACTGGTGTGGCTGCTGACATTGTTGCTGGTGCTGTTGCCATTGTTACTGGTGTTACTGTTGTTATTGGTGCTGCTGCTGTTCTTGTAACTATTGTTGCTAATGCTTTTATTGCTGCTGCTATTGCTGCTATTATTGTTGTTGCTGCTGATGCTGCTGTTGCTGCTGTTGCTGATGCTACTGTTGTTGTTGCTATTATTGTTGCTGCTGCTGCTGCTGTTGCTG